TGATAATATGTCAAATGTAAACAATAAAATAAAATTTTCATAAATTCCTGCGGATGAAGTCGCACGAGAACAGCTAGTTTTCTATGTCTATACTAATATTATATAGAGGAAAACTTTGTATTTTTTTATTTTTGTATGTATTGAAATAACTTAAAAACCACTGGACCGATTTTAAAAATTCTTTCACCATAAGAAAGGTAATTTATCTGTGAGTAACATAGGCTACATGTTATTATTACTAATGTTTAGGAACCCTACCTAGTTAAGAAGATATCGCAAACACAAACAATAAGGGTAACCGAAAAATCAGCTTACAAACTACCGGACTTAGAAATTTGGAATCTTGCATCGGTAGATTTCTGTTATTACATAGATTACTACTAAGTTAATAATTTTGGTAATCGATTGAAAAAAAGGGCGAACGTAATACGTTATATTTGTTATTTCACGCGGGCGAAGTCGCGAGCAACAGCTAGTATTAAAAATATTTATAGTTGCACTAGAAGTGTTTCTGATGGTCAACGTATAGAATTTATTTTTAGAATGTTTATGTTGTCTAATTTTTTTTAATATTAAAATATGCCAGATAATGATGTCACATAATGCATAATATTTAGTTAACGGAAATAAAACCGGTGTAAATTAATCTATTATTTAGGCCTAATGTCCTTAGAATTGCTAATATAAAAGTCGACCTTTATTAATAAGTGGCTTTGATGATTAAAATTCTCTTGTAAATATATATTTCGAGCGCGACTCCGTTCGCGTGGATTTAAAACCAACTAGCTGTTCCCGTTCCCGTGCGACTTCATCCGCATGAAATTATGAAAATTTTACTTTATTGTTTACTAGCTGTCGCCCGCGACTCCGTTTGCGTGATATTAATAAAAACAAAAGAAAGTAGCCTATGTGTTCTTCCAGACTATCCTCCACATCTATGCCGAATTTCATCCAGATCCGTTCAGCCATTTAGGCTACAAGCTATAACAAACATCCATCCATCCATCCATCCATCTATCCATACATCCAAAGTTTCACATTTATAATATTAGTATGATTATACATAAGTCAAATTATCAATAGCAAATGTCAAAATGACATGACATGACAATCCTTCGCAATCTTGCTTCCTTGATGTTGGCAGCAACTTATGGTCTCTTACCCGCATTAGGGTTTTTATCCAAAATATTTACCACCTAAGTTTAATGGCGTGAAAATATATAGTCTAAAGCGTGACGTAAGTGTAGGGCTTTTTATTAAATAAAGAATTATTCAAAAATATGCTGTAATTGCTGATATCTTATGCAACAAAGAAGTGTGTGTTTACGCTTTATTATAATAGATTAGTAGTCTATGTTATCTTCCAGAAAAATACAAAATCTAACAAACCATCTTTTTCGCATTCATAATATTCGTAAAGATAATTGGATTTTGCCTGTCTTTGAGAGGAATAGGCTCGCTTCTTGAAGGGCCCTAAGAGCGGGCGCACACCTTTTACTACACTATCCCACAACTATTGTGCGATTGTCGCTTGTTTCGCAATTCAACTGTTCAGTTGCACAACTAACGAGTAGTGTACCTCCATACAAGCTCATAGGAACCAAAGCAAGACTAAACAATTGTGCGATCAAGTGTCCCCGCGTAAATCATGGTTTGGAAATACCGAGGAATTAATTATATTCGTATATTAAAATTGTATTTCAAATACGATAACATTAGTAAAATATAATGAAAATCATTATTACATTTTTAATATTGAATTTACAATTTAAATAAAAGCAACATCACCTTTCTCCTTACCCTACTCCCGTAGCGGCGCAACAGGTTTTTGTCCTCCAAATAACTCTATCATACGTCATCTCAGTCACTCCCTTCTTGATCATGTCACCTTTTACACAATCCATCTCTTTCTATGTCTACCTCTACCGATGTACCTCCACACTCATAACTAACGTTCTTGTAACCTGCGATTCATCCCTCCTCATAACATGCCCCCATGCTAACTTTACTCCTTACCTTCTACCACTGGGGCTACTCTCAAACTTCCTCTAATATACTCATTTCGTATTTTATCCATTCGTATATCAAGTCAGCTATTTAGAAGAAACCTTCTAACGATTACCCATCAATACAAACTTTTACATTTATAATACTAGCTATCGTCCGCGACTCTGCGTGGTATAAAAAAAACAAAATTAAATTGTTCCTTCTACATGTATAAAAATCATCGAGATCTGTTCAGCAATATATGTTAACTAACATACATACATCTAAACTCTTGGATTTATAATATTACTAGTAACAGAGGTCAGAATCGTAGTTCGTAGGCTTATGCATAATAATGTTACAATAGCTATGAATTGTCAAAAAACCTCGCTGACCGCTAGTCACTGTATAACGGGTCGATTCACACATACAGATTTAAAATATACAAGCTTTCGTCCGCGACTCCGTCCTCGTGGAATTAAAAAAAAAACAAAAGTGAGTAGCCTATGTGTTCTTCCAGACTATGCTCTACATATATACCAAATTTCATTAAAATCCGTTCAGCCGTTTACGCTACAAAGTCTAACAAACATCCATCGATCCAAACTTTCGCATTTATAATATTAGTATGATTAGTACGATATAGAGGCGGCATAAACATATTACCTGAAACATTTTTCACATAATATTACTATAGTTATAGTTTGTCTAAATAATATTGATTTTATTACAAGTGTAGATGTATAGATTGGAGTGTCTGTAATATAAGAAAAAAATCCAGATATCTGGAAGAAGATATATTTGCGTTGCTGACAACGAACTGTCTCTATCCGCAAGCCGCGTTTGTTCCGGGTAATCTCCGAAACGGCTACGATTTCGACGGGACTTTCACTGAAGGGTAGCTGACATAGACGGGCATATTATAAGCTACATTTTTTTTAATTCCACTGTCTAAAGCGCTAACGAAGTTTGCCGCCAACGCTCGTATTTTTAAAACTACAAGGACGATATCGCAAAAAGCAATGGCGATATATCGCTTCACGTTGTCTGGACAACAAGCTTTACTACACATTACTAATGTATTTTATGTACATATTGTGTGTGAATTAATTCTTTCATGTTACATAAGAGTATATATATATCTATCTAAGGAGCTTTATATGTTTTAGTTTGCTAATTTTTATCGACGAAAGGAGTTGGTGAGGTTAGTTTTTTTAACCGATTTATTTTACGAAAATAACACTAAGGGATCGACTTAACGAATTTAAAACGGCAGTTTTTCAAATTAAATAATCTATTTTAAATAAACGCTGTTTAGAGTCAACATTAACCTGCCTTTATCCGTACAGAGGGTCGGCAGTATTCTTCCATACATCTTCAATAGCCGTCCTCACGTTCTCACATAATCCATCCATTCGGTCTTCTACCTTTGTAAGCATTTACTCTTAACATTTTCTGGTTTGTCTCCATCGTCTCGTCACACATGTCCATAACACGCTAACCTTTTGCTTCTCATTTTCTCCACCACTGGCGCCGCATAATATGTCCATACCACGCTAACCTTTTGCTTCTCTCTACCGCTAGCGCTACTTCCAAACTTTTATATATTCTTGATCTCTTTTTTTTATATAATATAAAGTGGCAAACGAGCAAGCGGCCACCTTAATCCGCCAAAATGGCGAAGCAACCGCTGCCCATAGACATCCGCGATCGCAGATGCGTTGCCTACCCTTATCCGACGGAGAAGGAGACGCACATAAAGAGGATATTGCCCCTTCCTATGCATCTCCTCCACCGTCAAATCCACTTCCCCTTCCCATCCTCTCCTTATAAGAAAAGGGTGGTAAAGAGAAAGGGACTTAATTTAGGCCTCCGGCACCACACTCATCAGACGAAACACGGAATTGCTTCCACTTCACGCCTGTCTTCTGTGTGGTCGTGGTATTAAACCGGGCATGCCGGCCCTGCAGTGCTAAGATGTTAAAGCGGGCACAACCACTGTCAAAGTACTTTATAGTGAAACAAACTTAATCGGTCTTAATCATCATCACCCACTTGCCCTTATCCCTTATGGAGGGTCGGCACAGTATGTGCTGCTCCATACATCTCTATCAGCCGTCATATCTGAATCCACTCCTTAAGCATATCCTCTTTCACACAATCCACCCATACTTACTTCGGTCTTCTACCTTTGTAGCCATCCACATTCATTCTTAAGATTTTCTGGTTTATGTCCCCATCACGTCGCATATGTCCATACCACGCTGACCTTTTGCTTCTCAAATTCTCCACCACTTTATCGGTCTTAATAGTGACATAAAATACTTTAGTAGAATGTTTAAAAAAGATAACTTTTGTATAGACTGTAAGTCGTGATTTTGTGATTAACTTGTTACATGTTTTTTACTTAATAGATCGTGGTTTTTGTGTTAGTTTGAAAGTGACGTTAGTACAATGAATTGTAGATTTTTTTTGCCTATCGTATATGTTTGATACAGCGTAATTGTTTCTTATTACTAATCTTACTAATATTACAAACTAGCTAAAAAACAATAGTTTGTAGCCTATATGTTCTTCCAGACAATCCTCTACATAAATGTCAAGTTTCGTCGAAATCCGTTCAGCCGTTTATGCTGCAAACTCTAACAAACATCCATCCATCTAAACATTCGCATTTATAATATTACTAGCTTTCACTCGCGATTCCGTCGGCCAGGAATCAAAAAAAAGAAAAGTGAATATCGTATATGTTCTTCCAGAATATCATCTACATCTATGCCAAATTTCATCGAAATCCGTTCAGCAGTTTAGTCTACAAACTCTAACAAACATCCATCTAAACTTTCACATTTATAATATTAGTATGATATAGTTTGTTAGAGTTTGTGGCCTAAACTTCGTAACGGATTTCGATTAAATTTTGTACAGATGTAGATGGTAGTCTGGTAGAAAACATAGGCTATTTACTTCTGCCTTTTTTGGTTTCATTAACAAATGTTATTATTATATTTCAGTATCATGACACCGAATCCCAGTGAATCTTCTTTAGAAGAATTCCATTTGCAAGTTAAGAGACCTGTGGTCAGTGAAAAACCCGAAAAGATTGTTATTGTGTATCAGAATGTTTTAATATACACTGCTTACCACATTTTCGCTATATATGGATTGTATTTAACCTTCACATCTGTAAAATGGCCGACTATTGTACTAGGTAAGACTTTTTATATATCACTAGCTGTTGCACGCAACTTCGTCCGCAAGGAATTAAAAATATAGTAAAAAATATAGCCTATGTTACTCAGTGATAAGTTAGCTTTTTAATGGTGAAAGAATTTTTAAAATCTGGCCAGTAGTTTTTGAGTTATTTCAATCTTACTAATCTTACTAAGTAAAGTCAAAGGTGCCTTCTCTTAAAACCATTTGTTTTCAGGCGTTATCCTCTGGACTCTCTCAATCCTTGGCACTACAATGGGATCCCACAGACTATGGAGCCACAGAGCGTACAAAGCGACGTTACCTCTACAAATATTCTTAATGATCTGTACATCTATAGCCTGCCAGTTAACTAGTTACAATTGGGTCAGAGATCACAGAATGCATCACAAATATTCTGACACAAACGCAGACCCTCATAATGCGAAACGAGGCTTCTTCTTCTCCCATTTCGGATGGCTTTTAATTAAAAAACACTCAGAAATGAAACGATTAGGGGAAACTATTTACATGGATGATGTTCACAGTAATCCTGTACTGATGTTTCAAAAGAAGTAAGTAGACTTGATTTTTTTTTGTAACATAAGGTGGCAAACGAGCAAGCGGCCGCCTCAATCAAAATGGCGAAGCGACCGCTGCCCATAGTCATCCGCAATTGCAGATGCGTTGCCTACCCTTTTCCGATGGAGGAGGAGAGGGTAAACTGTCCTGTACATTTTTTTATAATATACGGTAGCAAACGAGGAAGCGGCCACCTGAATCCACCAAAATGAAAAGTCGCTGCCCTTAAATATCCGCAATTGCAGATGCGTTGTCTACCCTTATACGACGGAGGAGGAGACGAACAAAAAGAGGATATTTCCCCTTCCTATGCATCTCCTCCACCGTCAAATCCACTTCCCCTTCCCATCCTCTCCTTATAAGAAATGGGTGGTAAAGAGAAATGGACTTAAATTAAGTCTCCGACACAACAACTAAGATTAAAGTGCGTCCACACCGTATACTAAACTATCGCACAACTTTTTAGTCCCGCTTTGATTCCTATGAGCTTAGGAGGTGTGCACACTACTCGTTTAGTTGTGCAAGTAAACAGTTGAATTGGCTGAGAAACAATCGACAATCGCACAACCGTTGTGCGATAATGTTTGCAAACTGTGCATAATAAAAAAGTTATGACAATTTATAGTTTATCTAACTACAATTTTAATGACTAGCTTTCGCCCGCGACTTCGCGTGGAATTAAAAAAAAGCGAGTAACCTATGTGTTCTTCCAGACTATCCTCTACATCTATGCCAAATTTCATCGAAATCCGTTCAGCCGTTTAGGCTATAAACTCTAACAAACATCCATGTAAACTTTCGCATTTATAACATTAATAAGATTGTTTTTATTTCAGATATGCAATACCTTTAATGGGATCTTTATGTTTTGTTGTCCCAGTACTAATTCCTATGTATTTCTGGAACGAAACATTTGTCAATGCTTGGAACTTCAATATATTAAGATTTATTCTCGGCGTCCACTCTATTTGCTCTATTAATAGCTTCGCACATTTATTCGGCAGTAGACCTTACGACGAGAGTATTATGCCCGTGGAGAATATGGGGGTTTCTCTTGTCACTTTAGGGGAAGGTTTCCATAACTACCACCATTCTTTCCCCTGGGACTACAAAGCTGGTGAACTAGGCAATCATTGGTTGAATTTTAGCACGGCGAGTATCGATTTCTTCGCCAAAATAGGATGGGCTTACGATTTAAAGACTGCGTCAGGAGCAGTAGTGGAAGCGAGGATTAAAAGAACGGGAGACGGTAGTTATAAACAAAAGAATCGCATTGACTGTGGAAATTTTAAAGAAAAGAACATCGGCTTATGAAGTCTTTATAAGGTTTATGGCGAAATAATTACAAAAATATTGTACCATATATGTCTTTTGAAGTAATCGTTTTTATATGAGACTAGTTGTTGCACGCAACTTCGTCCATGTAGAATTAATAAGCCTATGTTACTGACTGATAACGTAGCTTTATAATGGTGAAAGAATTTTTAAAATCGTCCCAGTAGTTTTTGAGTTTCAATACGTACAAAAATCCAAAAACTACAAATATTTCCTGTTCATAATATTAGTATAGAGTTGGTGTATTCTTCGGCCAGTAGCGCCGCATTTTCTTACTCCTGTCGGTGACATTATTAAAACTTTCTCATAGTTATTCAGAAAACAATTCATCACCAGCTATAGGTCCCTACTAAGGGGGCTAGCCCTTCCCTAAGTTAAAGGTAACTAAGTCATAGATGTCACTAGCCCACTTCTAGCTGTTCCCATGCGACTTCATCCGCATGAAATTATAAAAAAATTATTTTATTGTTCACATTTGTCAAATTATAAATGCAAATGTCAAAATGACATGACATGATATCAACATGTTGGCAACAACTTATGGTCCCTTTCCTACATTAGGGTTTTTATCCAAAATATTTACCCCTAAATTTAACGGCGTAGAAATATATAGCCTAAAGCATGACGTAAGTGTAGGGCTTTTTATTAAAAAAAGAGTTATTGGAAAATATGCTGTAATTGCTGACATCTTTGGCAACAGAGAAGTGTGTGTTTACGCTTTATTATAATAATATAGATATACCCTACGGATGTTATTATTGTCAAACGCTAGAAAAAGGCTAATAAAAATATTGTTTATTTGACCAAAAATAATACCAATTTTAGACATAAGATATATTATTGTAAAAAATAAAGATTTTGATAAATATTGTTGTTATTACCCGCTTTTAAGTTCAGAGACCCTTTTTCTTTTACTATAACTATAAAGAAACTAACTTTGAAAAGATAATAGTTAAATACGTAGTAAATATTTGCTACAGGCGCTCTAATTTTTATTCAATTTTGATAGGAATTTGCTTTAGCCAGCACACAAATGAGCGGAATAAATAATGTTTATTATTTATTAAACATTTTAAATGGATATAACATGTATATAAAAATGTACCGGTAGAGGTAGACCTAGAAAGAGATGGATGGATTGCGTGAAAGGTGACAACGTCAGCAACGCCCATGTACATCCGCAACACCAGAGGAACTACAGATGCGTTGCCGGCCTTTGAGGAAATGATAGGCTCGCTTCTTCTCTATTCGAACAATCGACTTCTATATAAAATACATGTCATATTTAAAATATCTTCTAACCAGCCAGTCTTACAAAGCAACCTCTGTACAAAGCAGGTCACATTTACAACAAAACACAGCAACTATTAGTGTTTTTTTTTATAATATAAGGTGGCAAACGAGCAAGCGGCCACCTGAATCCACCGAAACGGCGAAGCGACCGCTGCCCATAGACATCCGCGATCGCAGATGCATTGCCTAACCTTATCCGACGGAGAAAGAGACGCACATAAAGAGGATATTGTCCCTTCCTATGCATCTCCTCCACCGTCAAATCCACTGCCCCTTCCCATCCTCTCCTTATAAGAAAAGGGTGGTAAAGAGAAAGGGACTTAACTTAGGCCTCCGGCACCACACTCATCAGACGAAACACGGAATTGCTTCCATTTGACGCCAGTCTTTCTATGTGGTCGTGGTATTACACCGGGCGTGCCGGCCTATTCGTGCTAAGGTATTAAAGCGGGCACCACCACTGTTAAAGCGTTAAAGGTGCCCAGCATCTGTTGAAACACTTCCATTCGTGATGATTAAATCTACACAAATGTTAGTTTCTATTATAATGTTAACCTTGATTTGGCATTTCATTTCCTAAAGCATTAATAACGAATTAAACTTTGTCTTTACTTGGAAAACTTTAGCAATAATTCATCCGGGAATCCCCAACAGACAGCCAGTGTCAATCAATCAGGATTAAATCAATAAATGTTACAAAAATTCTTCATCCCTACTAACCTTGATAGTGGTAGAGCCCGCTTTAACATCTTCGCACGAATGGGCCGGCTCGGTTCAGCAATACCACGACCACACAGAAAACAGGCGTCAAGTGGAAGCAATTCTGTTTCGTCTGATGACTGTGGTGCCGGAGGCCTAATTTTAGTCGCTTTCCCTTTCCACCCTTTTAAGAGAAAAGGATGGGAATGAAAAGTGGATTTGATGCCGGAGGAGATGTCCTCTTTATGTGCGTCTCCTCCGTCAATGAAGGGTAGGCAACGCATCTGCGATTGCGGATGTTTATGGGCAGCGGTCGCTCTCCATTTCGGTGGCTCTCCATTATATGGAGGTACACTACTGGATTTTTAGTTTTGCAACAAAACAATCGGCAATCACACGTTGTGTGGTAATCTAAGGTGTACTCCCGCTCTGAGGGTTAAAAAATTTATAATTCTAGTAAAGTAGGATGATGAAAACTCATATAATTCGATTATATTTCGTAAGCGAGTTTATAATTACTTTTATAACGACGTTATGAATGTATAAATTTTGAAATTTATTCAGAGTCCCGAACACTTTGAAATTTTAATAATTATTTGATAACTTGATACTGACAGGATATAGCGATGTGGTAAATATTCCTTGTAAGGTGACATGATGAAGGGAGTGACCGAGATGACGTATGATAGAGTTATGAGGACAAAAACCTGTTGCACCAATACGGGAGTAGAATAAAGCGGAAGAAGAAAAAAGAGGAGGAAAAGAACAGTCAAATAGGATAATGTACATGAAATTAACAGTGATGTTTAATTTTTCAGTTTTCAGGTTGCAGATGGTAGCGGTGGTTTCCGAACTAATATTAAAGATAGAATACAAACTCTCAAAACATAAACAGAGCGCCTGCCAATATGTGCATAGCAATGCTTCATAATTAAACTAATGAAGACAATAACTTACAAGGCTTTAACATAACGTCTGCACTAGTTCGGGATGGAACGAAAACATAATTATTCAACCAAAACATTACCAACAGTTTCTTTATATAAATATTCATTGCATTAATTAACTTTAAGAGTAACTTAGAACTGTATTCATACATTAGTGGCGGAATTAAAAACGCCTGTGAAAATTCCGTCAAATTCAGTCCAGTCGTATCTAACAATATTCAGACCAAGTTAAAAATTGCATTTTATTCTTTGTTGAATCATTAGACTAGGTCCTAGATTTTACTTTCAGCGTTACAAACAAACCAATATTATTAAGTACTCACTGCTGTTATTTTCATAAATATAGCCTATGTTACTCACTGATAACGTAGCTATTTATAAGTATTTTTGAAATCGCCCAGTTTTTGAGTTATTTCAATGAATACAAAAAAAACAATCTTTTTTCTTTATCCTCTTTATAATATTATCGAAGTATAGATATGAGAGTAAATAAGAGAAAACTTTGACGTTTAAAAAAACATCTAACGAAAGTATTTCAATACTAGCTTTCGCCCGCGACTTTGTCCGCGTGGATTCAAAAAACCAAAGTGAGTAGCCTATGTATTCTTCCAGACTATCCCCTACATCTATGCCAAATTGTATCTAAATCAGTTCAGCCGTTTAGGCTACAAACTCTAACAAACATCCATCTAAACTTTCGCATTTATAATATTAGTATGATAATATGATTATTTTGTTTTCATCTAATAAATAAACAGAATACAGTATTTATAAAGAAAACATAATTCAGACGTACTTTTAACGCAAATTGAGTACTTCAAAGGCTTGTGTTTACTTATGTGCTGACTTAATCCTTAACGGTCTAAGCTATTAGCGGTTACTATTCCCGAACTTACAAAAGCTTTGTCATTTTTGGCCGACTTCCCAAAAGAAGGAGGTACTCAATTCAAATTTAATCAATTTAGATTTACATCTACGACGAATTGTCAATTGTTATGGTAAAGATGTAGAAAGCCTTATGTAGAAATATCACTGCATACCTCGGCTGACACCGACATCAAAGTAATAATTGTACAATATAGACATAACAGTTACAATAAGGTAGGTCTACTATTTTCAAGGAATTACTTCTTTACTTTTTAATGTATTGTTTTTTTGAGAATATTTTGTTTTTAGTGTGTTTTGTTTTTTTGTCAAAAAACAACAGGACATGAGTATTTGTAGATATTTCAGCATTAAAATTACTGTAAAAATTATCGTATATTAGGGAAAAATAAATAAATAAATTCTGTTGCTGTAACTGCACAAGATTATCTCCTTATATCGTTTGTTCCTTGCTTGATTCGGCTCATCATCATCTTTCTTCTTATCCTACTCCCGTAGGGTCGGCGCAACAGGTTTTTGTCCTCCACATAACTCTATCATACGTCTCAGTCATCCCCTTCTTGATCATGTCACCTTTCACGCAATCCATCTCTTTCTATGTCTACCTGTACTGGTGTACTCATAACTAACTGGTGTACTCAAACTAACCTTCTTGTTACATGCTAACCTTTTACTCCTTACCTTCTACCACTGGGGCTACTCTCAAACTTCCTATAATATACTCATTTCGTATCTTTTCCATTCGTGTTATATCCATCTTAACATTCATTTGTTTGACTCAGCTAAGAACGTGATAATTTACGTTTTTTCAAACAGTCCATTGTCAATTGGGTTGCTGGTTTCCATTAATTTCATATTTACCTCGTAATTCAGTGTTGCAATTTTTAATTTAAAACTCTAGTTACTTTTGGAATATATCGAACTAAATACTAACGAATCGTTAAAAGGGAAACCGGCTTGAAAACATTTGAGGTCCTATAACGAGTCATAGGGCATTTTAAAAGGACGTTCCGAAAACATTCTGCCAATTGTTAAAAATATAGTACAAAACATTAAAAATGTAATTAACGTTATTTTTTAAAGTAATTCCAACAAAAATAGTAACAAAATGAAATAACAATTAAAACGCAATAAATAATTTTAAAATTATTATTTCGTTACCTTATTTATAAATAATCTATAACAGATATATAAAAATATTGTATAATTTAATAATGCGTTACATTTAAAATAATATTTTCATCATAATATGAAGATATATGAACACATATTCCGAATTATTTGTATTCCCTTTTGAATATAATCTATTTTTTTTTATTATATTACTTACATTAAATCCGTGTTACAATAA